AGTTGCCACTGCTGTAGTCTCTCTTCTTGTTTATGTTCTTTCTCCTCCAATAGGTGTTGTAATCTCTCTTCTTTTCTTTTTCCTCCAACAACTGCTGTAATCTCTTTTCTCGTTCTTCTTGTTTCTTTTGCTGCTCTTGTATTGCTGCCATCAAATCTGCTAAGCTGTAGCTTGATTTGCCGCTTCTCGTTTCCATTTTTTTTTATCCCACTTCCGACACCAATTTGTTACACCTCCGTTCGTTAGTTAATTTTCCGTATAATTCCTTTCCGAAGAAACTTTAGTGATACAAGTCCTTTCTTAAATAAAACTGGTTTATTCTTTCTGAATACAACTTTGCAATACACTTAATTTCCACAGTCACACTAAAACAAACGCTATAATTCACAATGAACGTCTCACATGCTCGACTCAACAATACGTCTCTCTGTCCGCAGTTCAATTACACATTACATTGTTGCCGTCATGTCTTGACCATCTTAAATATAAAAGAATACCGAAATCTAGTAAATGCTAGAGCATTCAAGAAGGGACAGGATCCTTCTAGAAGTTAATGACGTGTTACTAGCGTCACGTGACTTCCACTGTCGTAACAATATCTTAGGCTTAAATACAACAATAAATCAAACAGTGTGAAAAGTTTATATTTTAATTTAAATAGTACCATCTTATAAGTATAAATGAAAAATTTAGATGTCTCAGGTTAAATAATAATTATCATTCATATATATCATAAATGTATTTAAAGTAATCTAGTGAGAATAATAATTAGTAAGAGTTAAAGGTGAACTGCAATGTTTTTATACTGATAAGCTAGTAAAAAACCTTAAGAACTAGGATTTAGCTTGTGTATTCTTCATACCTATAACCAGCTTCAAATTTTGTATTCATATGAAATTTGTAAAAAAATTAAGAATTTAGATAGTATGGATAAATGTACCTGGTCTTTTCACGCGCTTCCCTCCACATACTAGCGTAGCTCCTTCCTTGACTCCTATGTCACAGTATTCAACAAGTTTGTCTAGATGAGCCCTGAAACATTAATGATCAACATGAGGTTTGAACACAGTTATAGGACTCCAGAATATTCTTAAAACTATCATCTGTACTTAGAGACAATAACTGATTACACATATATTTAAAATAAAAATACATTACTGGAAATGGTATAAAGTGCAAATATTATGGGATTGCTCCTCTTCTACTGTATAAAAATAAATTGCATATTGTTGAGCACTACCAAAAAAAAGCATGAAAGCATTCTAGACAGAGTGAGAAAGGGAATAAGCCTTTTATAGTTAGTGAAAATGCTTGATATTAACTCTTTCCCTACGGGTACACTTTTCTGCAAATGTCACAATTTTTTTTATTATTATTATATTTACATTAAAAACTGAATCTACTTTATTATCATCACATACAAACAAACTTGTCACCAAAACAGTTACTAACTTGTATGATATTAAAATTGATTTATGTTTTAAATTTTATACAAAAATGTTTTAAAAATCCTCAATTTACCCTGGCGACATTTGATCTTTACGTCTCCCCTCTTCTCTATCTAATACATTTACCACTCCTCTAAGAAGTGCAGAATTTAATGTAAATTACTCATTATAATAAAGTTATTACTCAGGCAAATCTTAATTTTTATAACCTTCAATCTTATTTGTGAATGGAGCCATAAAATAGAAAATCAGACCCACGTACCATACCCCTCTTTCACATTCTCTCTGACATTTAATACTATATTTATAACTAATAGAAAGGCAAAGATGTAATCTATCAAATGATGTATTATATTACACGATTTTCTGGGTAAAACATTGTCTTTTGTTGCCAGTTTAAACTTTCCCATGGGAAACACATTAATGAGCATAGCTGAATTTTTAACTGCTCTTATCGCATAGTTAAAAAGCCAGAAAAATTAGGATGGTTATTGGATATTGTCTACTTTTTACATGTTATTATTCTGCATTATTAGGTGCATTATTTAATTTCAAATCAAAATTGCAGTAGTACCATTAGTATACAAAAGTAGGCTTAAGTTTCATTGACAAACAAGAAAGACCTAGGTAAGTACTATATTTCTTGTTTTTCATGTGTTTTGCTTTTTTATTATTATGAAAGTAACTAAAATGTAAGAATTAGAAATGTAGTAGGTTAGATTAGGCAACATAATAAAAAGTCTTCTTGAGGTATGCTTCTGAGCAGTTTGTGCATTACTTAATTCAATACAGTAATATGAATTGCACAACTGCACAGTGATTTACAACTTGTGTGGTTCAAAGAGAAAAAAAACAAAACAATAAAATTAAGTATAAATAAATGTATACTGTTTGAATCTTTAAGCTATTTAATATAAATTATTATGGTTTTCTGTTACAATTCACAATCATTCCAGAAAGAAATAAGGATAATTCTAGATTTCCTAAGTTTTAAAAGTGGTTATGAGTTATAGTATAGAAGGTAGCAGATAAAATATAATTTTTCTGAAAAATCCTTTGACATTTAGTTAGATTTTAGGGCTTACGTAAATGAAATTTGAAAATTTTCAGTTGAAGAAAAGGATTTTAAATCTTAATATGAAAATCACTTTGCACTCAGATCAGTCAACAACGACTCTCTATAATTATGGACAAAGTTTTAGTAAAAATTCTTAATTAAAAATCCTGATTTTTTGTCTATGGAAGGCTTTTAATATTTAATGAAAGCTTGCCAAATTTTGTGAAGATATATTAAGTACTTTCAGAATTATAGTGTGGCCATGGTTACAAGGTTGAGTAAAATACACAAGCCCATTGCAATAGGAGATTAACGTTTTTTATATTCAAAGTGACTAATTCAGCTATCCAAGTGTCTCCATAATCCACAAAATTTACTTCATGACAAATGATATGTTTGGCTTAATGATGTTACACTGAAAAATTGTAAAATGTATTTGTTTTTCTTTCATACTTTTATAATAACTTATTGAACTAATGATAAATTTACCATTTAATTGCAATTACTCAATGTTAGTGACTCCTGCATATGTATTACTTTCAATACTGTATATACCACATTGTACATAAAGAACACACATTGAAATGAGGATGCTATACTCACTTGTGATTCTGGGGCCCATGTGCAGTGGATCGGTCCAGTGGATGTCCAATTACCATCTTCTTTATCTCTTCAACCTAGATTGTCAGGGGAACAAAAATACAATAAAAATTAAATAAAACAGTATTCATAGAATGGATCTCTAATAAGGTAGTAACAATAAAAATTAAATAAAACAGTATTTCTAGAATGGATCTCTAATAAGGTAGTAACAATAAAAAATGAAATAAAACAGTATTCATAGAATGGATCTCTAATAAGGTAGTAACAATAAAAATTAAATAAAACAGTATTCATAGAATGGATCTCTAATAAGGTGGTAACAATAAAAATTAAATAAAACAGTATTCATAGAATGGATCTCTAATAAGGTAGTAACAATAAAAATTAAATAAAACAGTATTCATAGAATGGATCTCTAATAAGGTAGTAA